TTCTATTGCCTCTCAGCACCCCTTTCAAATCCCATCTACTCTTAACGCCTCTATTAATATAATACAAATTCTAGATATCTTTGAAACTAGCACTTTAACTGAACACTCTTCAATCTATTGCCTATAATAACTATAACTACTCAGAACTTTTCTTCTATACAGATGGTTCAGTTATTAAACTTGAAACAAATCAATACTCTATGAGGATTGGTTGGATACAAATTTAAAATAACAATATTGTATACTTCTTCTAAGCACAAATTAAATTTTGGCTATATTCTTTTAAGGCTAAACTCACTGTCATCCTATCTGCACTTATTACAGTATCTAGAATTGCATAGTTTATATATATATAGACTCACAGTCTGTGATATCTAAATACAATAACACTAATCAATTTTCCCTTGCTCTATCATTCATATGAATACTATACCACTCACTATGGTATACTTTAATTAATTTTATTAACTCATATAGCTTGCAAGTTGTTTTTTATAAGGTCAATGCTTATCAAGATAATAAATTTAATAACTGAGCTGATCAACTAGCTTGAAGTCATCTTATTGTATCTTATTTAATATTCAAGCCTTATAATATCTACAATCCAAATTATACTCTTTTCTTTAAGGACTTTCTAGTCAAGTTACCAATTTGACGATTTATTCGAACAATTTGTCATGCCCATATCTATATACTTTGGTCATTTCAAAACCAGTTTCAACAATGGTCCCAGATTTTTAACCAGATTCATTGGTATGCTACCTGGCTATATATCAACAACAATCAAAAGATCTCCAACTACAAACATAGCTTTTAATCATTCACCTTAAAGTCTTTTCGTATCAAAATCTTACTTGATAACTTGCCTACTCCACATATTTTATATAAACAAAATCCTAAATATCCACCTGTATGTTACCAATATAATCAAATCAGCACCATGCTTTACTGGGTTATGTGTTCAACCTCTCAGCTCTTTTAGGACTTAATTAACAGTTCACTCCAGTCAACAATCAATATATCTAGCTTTGATCTTTTTACTTAGTCTATTATTAATATATATTAGCTTATTAAAAATCTTCAGTGTATGCAAATTTATAACTCATCAAGTTTTCCATCTCTTATATCAACAATCTCTGGTCTTATTCCTCTTAAAATCATATTAGCTCTTGCTGATGCTATATCATCCAACAAAACTGCTATTTCACTTACTGTTAAATTTCTATTACACCTTAACAAGCAAATTTATAACTTTATTTGGATCCTATATTGTATTTCCAGATTCTAAACTAATGTTTCTACTTATTCACTACCTTCTTCTTCTACTCTATTTCACCAACTCTGACCCTCACTTCATTCTATAGCTTTCTTCAAGTTAGTATTATGGTACTCACAATAGATCAAATACTAATTTACCTTACACAATCTACTTAATCTCCAAATCTAGATGAGCCTTGGCCACTCTAGTAAGTTTAGGCTGCAGATAATTATATTATAATATTGTGTCTGAGTCTCTAGTCTTAGGTATCCTCTGAATATGAGATTCAAATATAATTTCTTTATATTTTGTAAAGGAACTCAATTGAATTTCAATAAAATTAGAGACATGGTCTCACCTTTAAGATTAAAAAAAAAATTTTAATTTTCTGAAGATCTTTTTTTTGTTAATTTTGTCTCTTTTCTCAGCATCTAGCCCATATGATCTATATAATATATTGGATTTTTACATAGTAAATAAAAAAATATTTCTGATTAAACTTTTTAAAATTATAATTAATAAGTATCAAATTTATATGATATATAGTTTAAAATAGTTTGTTTATGATAGTGAAGTTGTACAATATGTATTGCTTTAAAAAAATTTAACTTCACATATAATCAAAGTTTACTCAGATCGCTATATGTTTTTCCTAGGTGGTACAAAGAATTGCTAATTTTGATTGGTCAAATCATATGATGTTTACATGATATCATATGATATTGGTTATACAATATTGATCTACAATCTATTTTATATAAATTCAGAAATATTGATACTCTACTCTTAAGGGATAGGTTTTAAACTTGATAATTTATGGTACTAGAATGATATATAAATTTAAAAATTATATAATTTGATTGATTAATTATCATAGAAAATCATGGGTAGATCTACAAAAATTAACCATTATTTTATATAAAGATCTCATAGACAGAAGCACGTCTGATTGGCTAATTTCAAAGATCAATTTGTAGATCTACACGTGATTATTAACCAATCAAATCACATAATTTATTACAATAGAAAATGAAAACCTCAAGAAAAAATTTGTATGAATTGGTATACAAACATGAATTATAAAATCAAGACATTTACAGAGTAAGAAGAAAGTGGTATTCACTTCCAAAACAGTCTATCTCTCATATGAGCAAGGAGTTTGCTTTGCTCCAAGCACATCTTGAAATCTCTAAAAACAAAAAAAAAATGGCAACTATTTTGTTAGTAACTGTTTTGTTTTGGTGTATTTTAAGATTTCAACGTAGCTCTTCTTTTTTGCCTCTTCCAGAATATCGTGTCTAAGCTAACTTCTCTGAATATGCGATTATAAAGATTAATTTTAAAGTTAACTTTCTAGCTAGGGATGTTAAGTGGTCCACGGGTACCGGTTCGGACCAGTTCTGGACCAGACTTTTTAGGGACCGTTCAGAACCAGTCTGAAACTAATCCAGACCATCACATGATATGAATCGAGTGTCATTTTGACACATCGAATATATTTTAATAAAAGCGAGTCATGAACAATACTTTTGATATTTCCGTTTTAAGATTCGTTAATTATATGATTGATTGTTAGGTGTTCCGATTGGTGGATTTAGTAATTGTTTTTATTGTTACGCCATCTGTAATTCACACATTTATTTGCATTGGACCGGTTTCAGACTAAAGTTGTGAATTAGTTCCTAACTAGTTCAGGACCAGACTTTTTAAGGGCTGGACTGGACTGGACCGAACGGACTTTTTAACAACTTTATTTCTAGCATATTTTTGACGATTTTTTACTTGTGTAATTTTACGTTCCAAAAAAGTACTTTAAAGTGTATAAATAAGTTACCCGGGCAATTGATTTACGCTAGCCAATCAGACGAATTTCTGTCTATGAACGAAGATCTTCAAGATTCAGAAAATTTTTATTGGTTCCGAGCCTAAAATTTTGCAGATCATTTTCTTGACATAAGGGTACCCGGCCTAATGTGGTTCTGTAACCAAACGTCATAAATACGCATGTAACCAAACGTCATAAATACGCGTGTAACTAAACGTCATAAATATGCGTGTAACTACGTCATAAGTGCGCGTGTAACCCAACTCAATACCTTATTTTTAACGTTTATTTTCGTTTTTTCAATACCATATTTGTACACGTGCATTTTAGTTCATTTTATTCTTCTAGTTTTCTTTTGCATCATCTTGTGCTTGCATCATTTGGGCTATATTTGTATGCATTTATTATTACATCACTTTCGCCTGATAAAAGTCGACTATCGGAATAGAATTCCGACTAAAACTTTCATATTGTTAAGAAATTAAGATGTTGCATGAAGTGTCCCGAATCAAAAAGGACCATTTTTAATATTTTCGAGTAATAATGGTCTACAAATATCGTAAAAATGTAGTGTATTCTCAGTTTAAAGTTCCCTTTAGGTATTTTTTTTTTATTGTGTAATTATCACTTGTGATTTATAACAATTCTTTTCATTGAATGTTTATCTATTAAAATGGGCCCTTTTGATAAGAAATGCCCTATATGTTTTTCTGACCTTTAAACAATAAATAAATAAATTGAAAAAATTCCAATATGATCTTTCGCTGGAAATACAAATCTATGTTTATTAAAGAAATAAAAAAATGGTACAATTTCTGCAAAATATAAATGTCACAAGAATTGAAAATTTTAAATGGTATGATTTCTCAAATATTATTGAGATAAGAAGAAATGTTTATAGAGCTAAATGGAATCGTAAGATAGTTGTCCTCAAAAAGCTGCAAGAAATCGATAGAATTCAAAAGACGGGTGTATTAAAAGTATTAATGCAAGATATCCAGCATCCTAACATTGTTAGATTTTATGGTGTAACGAACGGTGAATAATCGGCTATTATTTTATGTAAACTGCTTAATCCTATTTTAACTGATTAATTTATAGATTCATTTGGAGACATTGTTTTAGTGATGAAATTCGCCGAAGGTGGAAATTTACGACAGTATTTAAATACTAGTTTGAATATAACGATTATCGACAGATTAAAGATTGCGAAAGATATTGTGGAAGGTCTTAAATTTTTACATAATAATGATATTATTCATGGTGATATGGTAAAATTATATATATGCCTTTCTATGATACTTTTAATATATTTATTATTTAATTGTATATTAATATTTATAGCATACAGAAAATATTTTAGTTCATAAAGGAAGAATAATGATTTCTGACTTCGATTTCTCGGTATTTTCAAATTCTGAGAGTGAAGTTCACGGAATCGCGGCATTCGTCGATCCTTGTATACAAAATTTCACAGGTAAAATTATATTTACAACTAAATATGATATATACGGCTTAGGCGTTATTCTTTGGGAAATTTCAAGCTGCCGTAGACCATTTGATGGCAAAACATGTTTAGAAATAATGGCACTTACACAAAATGGTGTGAGAGAAATCTCTACAGGAATGTCATCAGAATATGATAATCTTTACATGAATTGTTGGAACGGAGATCCAGAAAATCGACCAGAAGCAAATGTTATTCTTGAAACGTTAAATAACATTTTTGAAAAATATAAACCTTCAGTAAGCAAGTGAACTCCATACAGTAGGTACTTATAATGTAAATGGGACTATATTTATTGAATCTGATAGGTTCACCAACCTTATACAAAATGTAATATATATTTTCAACCATTATCTTCAATATTGAACTTTGACAACAACCTAAAGCTAATTCTAACGACTCCAATCTAAAAAACGCCGCAGTTTATTACTAATTAATATATTAGAAAGCTCTACGGAGGTTACTATAATTTTTTTCAATTTAGATGATTATAAATCACGTGAACAAATTACAGTGTAAGGATAAATGAAATTGATCAACCAATGAAATCAAATTTCAGACTAATCCCTATTGTTATTTTCACCCTATCGACCGGGGTAAAATCGCCACCACAAAAAATTTCGACAAATATATCGAACAACCCACCTGGGATCTGGACACTTTTGCAGTAACATGATGAGGTGCATGCGAAATAACCAATCGGGATGTGTAAATTTTGATTGTCCCAGCACAACGTCAAAACAAAACACGTGTGCAAGAAGCAAAAAAGTGAAAAGGCGAAACTAGTGTTTAAATCGGCCTTTGGGCACTAATAAAAAATGTTGGGAGTGAAATTTTACATATGGGAATGATCTTTCAAGGCCTATAACCACGAACCCTAACCGGAAACATAACATAAAGCCAAAAAAGCTTATCCGAACGTGCCACAATCGCCACATCACGTTACTGCAAGACTATAGACAGGTCGTCATTGGACTTATTCCAGTATTTTATAATTGCTGGACTGGACTGGACTGGACTTTTTTAAATGTCCAGTCCAGCTGTTTTTGTCCAGTTCAATGAGTATGGTTTGATCTTTTAAATGCAAATAACTTTTGATCCACTGGTCTGTTTTGAGTGATTTTACTACCAAAATGACCGCCTCATTGAGACGATTCTAATAAATCCAAAAATCACTAAAATCAGACTACAGGATCGCAAGTTCGTTAATTATTGACTTAAATATTTAAAATACCAATTCTTTAATGATATTGGGATCCCGTGATTGAATTTTAATGATTTTGAGCTCACTAGAATTGTCTCATTGAGACGATTATTTGGTGGTAAAATTATCAAAAACAGACCAGTAGATCAAAATTATTCTCATTTAATAATATAAATTAATAGTATTAGTAACTATTACTTCTGATTGTATCGTATTGGATTATTATTGGACTGAATTATCTAAGTCCAGCTATCAATGGTCCAATGGACTGGATTTGGACTGGACTATGTGTTCCAGTGGACTGGACTAGTTCAAATGACAACCCTGACTATAGATGTTGGTGAAACTGGTGAAACCCTTGGTGAATGGTGGTGAAACTGGTGAAATTTAATATAACAGCCAATTAGATTTTAGATAGTCACCAGCTTCACCAGCATTATTTAGTTTCACCAGTATCTATAGTCTAGACTCCTGGTGGAGTTTATATCGAACACCAAAAATTCATGTAACTTGAACAAAAAATACAAAAAAATTATAGACTCGATAAACGTAACATTTATTATAGCCAGAAAGTATTATGATGACTGTTTTTCTGAGTATTTGGAATATTCCATTGCTTTTTGAAATGATTATAATCTTCCTCCAACTTATGCAATGGCTCAAAGGTTTTATTAATACTATTAGCCATTTGTAATCATTTGGATTCATTATGTTTTCTTCAATAATTTTTTTTGTTACGTCCTGGGTTCAGATTTATAAAAACTTGTTGCTCAAATAAATAATCAGAATTATAGTCTTCCGGAAGAGCATTAAAAATAAAAATTTACAAAAATTTACAAGGTTTTCTGGTGCAATTGCATTTTCTTGATTAGTTTTTATGATTTATTATTAATGGAAACTTGGTTATGGCAATCAATGTATATTTTTAGAATAGTGTGTTTATTGGATTTTATGCTTTTAAAAGAATCACTTGGTTTGTCGAGATTG